TAAACAAATATTAAATGTTATAAGTAGAGGTGCACCGATCGAGCCAGGGAATTGGCCAATATTCCTCATGATCGGACTGTATTATTTAGGTAAACAACATTTCACGACGTTTCCCGAATATCAACACTACTGCAACGAGGCAAGTGACTATCTTTATGAACTGGTTACTGAATCATTGGCTTATTTAATGATTCAGTAACCAATTCTTAAAGACTGTGGCTGTGTTCGAAGTGGCATACTAGTTTACTGCCCAGTACACATTAAATACTGCCTACTATTTTTTGAAGAGTAGTGTGTGAAACAGTATACAATAATAAAAAGATAAATGTGACATAATTTTACTTGATTGTAAACATGCCATAGAGATTAAAGTACAATATATGTCCTACTAACGATATTATTTTTAGATACACATCATTAGTTTGTAGTTATATATAAAAATAAAAAATATATATATATATATATATATATATTGCTTAAACTGTTTTTACAGGACAGCGAAGTTGTGAGATCAGCCAGGCACTTGTTGTCTTTGCTGACCTCAGGCAGTGCAGCTGGTCCCAGTCACGATAATGCCAGGTTTTTTGTGTATTTTCATTTATTATTGTGGAAAGGATGGATAGTAAGGATAGTGTGGTAAAGGAAATCCCTGTTATGTATATGTATTTGTGCATACATAGTTTTATTAAAATACTTTCATTAAATTAATTTCATAATTCATCCTCCATAGGCAGCACACTGTTCAGCAGAGGGCCACAATTCAAACTGAGATGACCAGGTTTTGCAACTACATTTTTTTAATATTGACATAAGCAATCATGATATTATTTCATGGTTATTATTTTGGTTTGTAATTGAATTTTTTTTTGCCAACAGATCATTTCCCGGGTTTTTCACCAAAGGACGGGGTAAAAGGCGAATGCTGTCAATGCCCCCTAGCAAACCCGCAAAAATATTGCCTGTTAACTTTTATCTGCTTCCTCACCAATATGAGCGAACACCTAAGGAGAGTGAGCAACTGGTACATATGCAAGCTGGGTTGGGGCGAAAGACAATGCAAATGGATGAAAATGCAACTTATGATGAAGTAAGTATGTGTGACGCCTCTCCTGTATCTTTTAAAATGATCTTTTGCTAATGTAACATAGCATAATTCATTAGTAACTCTGTATGTGGAAAATGGGTGCTGAGGTGCTCTTAAGCACATTGCTATAATGTAATACTACAGTATAAGCTTTTTGTACCAGTGTTGCACTGGTAACTGTTGGGCATTTAATTTTTACATGGTTTGCTATACTGACAGTGTTATTTACATTGTAAGGTATGTGCCCAACTGAAGGAGCTGTTCCCAAAATTTCAGGATGTAAAGGGGGGTTGGCTTGTCTATAAGTCTTCAGGTAATCATCAGGAACATAGTGATACATTGCAATGACAATAAATAAATAAATAAATAAAATAAAATACATTTCTGAATTTTTACATTATCACTAATAACATTTCATATTTTATGTAAGTAAATACCTTTGTGTCAAGCTTAAAACATGAATCCTGGCATAACAAAATAAAAGGAATGAAATCCAATAACACATTGTGTTTTTCTGTATTTTGTGTAATTTTTCTTAAGGTGGATGGGGCTCCCGGAAGCTTACACTTATCCCACCCGATGAGAGTGGGTACAGTGCCAAATATTTGAAAGTAGCAACCCAGGGTTTCAAAGGAGTTCTTTACGTAGCTCCACTACAAATGGAGCTCGATACCACTGCTCTGCCACCTGAATCGGAAAGCTTTAATGATATGCCTAAAGAAAAATGTCAGAAATGTGGAATCATGTATCCTTTAGTTATCCTGACTGCACACATAAAGTCATGTGTGAGCAGTGATGAAGTTGAACAAACCAGTGATGAAGCTGTCGAAACCAGTGATGAAGTTGAACAGACCAAACAAGTAAAGTATTAAAACAGTTCATTAAATTTAATACATAATTCCGAAGTTTAACAAGGTATTATAAATATTTTTTAAAACATTTTTTTAGAGCTGCTTTTGAAGAAACTAAATTAGCTCAAAAATTAGGACATTGCATTTCTGTATATATTTGTTCTTTGCATATGAAGGTTAAAGGGAAAATGTAGTATATGTATAATTTTAAAACCATGTTTTAAAACCATGTTAGAAAAACTAATAAATGCTTGAAACAACATGAAAAAAAATTATTTACATTATATTGTTTTTGTTTTTATATTGTTCCCTCTAGGAAACTTGCCCCATCTGTCAAAAGAAAATGCCTTTTGATGTGATAGAGATTAATGCAAGTTTTTGCACAGGTGACAGGTAAGGAAAATCACACATATTTCCAGTAAATTAAAAAATTTTTATTGTTGTTTTTTGTACTTTCTTTATGTGTGCTGTTAAGATTGCCACAGGTCGTCTTCACTATACAATTGTGAATTGAATATTGTGTTTTATGTTCAAATTATGAATGTTCAATTAATTTAGAACTCTTGAAGTCATCTATTCAAAAAGGAATTTTGTTCCGTTATTGCACGGTAATTAAGTTTGTTTATTACAGTGTAAGCATGCAACCTCTGGAGTTCAATGTGTCTATGGAAGAACCATCCACATCTGGAGTTTCTGTGTCTGTGACACATACCGGTGATCATTTAAATGCAGCTGATGCCACAAGCACGAGTTATGGTATGCATTTAAAAAAAAAATTTGGAACTGATAAGCATAATACATTCATGAGATGTAAAACTGAAATAGAATACACAATTAGCTTCAGCTGAACTGTTAACATGTTGCTTCTTTGTTTTTTTTTTGTTTTCTTTGCAGATTGGAAAATTGAATTATTGGATAAAAATAAAGCAGCATCCTTATTGTCACGATCGTCGGGCAGGCGATCCGGGAAGCAGGCAAACGGAGCCAGGAAGTAGGCAAAACGGGGATTTATTGTGGGTAACAGGACCGGGGAACCACGACAGTAAACATTAATGACGAGTCTGGGGAAGACGGACACAGACGAGGACTAAATACAAAAGACAAGCCACGGATAACGAGCCACATGTGAGAACAATCAGGGCGAAACAGGAGGTAATGAGGTGGGCGTGGCACACATTGGGAGCGGACGGAGCGGGGCGTGACATAACCCCCCCCCAAAGGCGCGCACACCGGGCGCGCCCGAGAGGAGGCGACGGACGGGACGAAACCGGGGAACAGGACCTGAAAGACAAAAAGCAAAACATCAACGGGGAACCGGAAACAAGACAGAGACACAGAACAGGAACAAGGACGAAAAGAAAGACAGGACCTGACAAAGGACGGGGAACGCGGACAGACAAACCAAGAAGGGAGACACAGAAGGGGAGAAAGGCGGAACAAAAGGGCCAGGAGTGAACGGAGGAGGAAAAAAGGGACGAGGAGCAGAAACAGGCGGGACCAAAGGAAAGGGAGGCGGAAAAAGGGGAGCCCGAGGGAGCCCAGGCGGGCGACGGGCAGCGGCCGGAGGGGCCGCAGGGGAGAGGGAGCAGGAGGGGACCACCCAGGGGCCAAGGGAACGGGAGCCGGAGGACCCAGAGGCAGCCACCGAGCCACAGCCAGGGGCCGAACGGGCGAGCCAGGGGGCAGGGCGGGCGGGACCCGGGCCCGACGCCTATGTCCCCGTCCCTTACGGGACACTGAAAGGTGGGGTCCTGGGGGGCGTCGGCCTTGCCGGGGTAAGGGCGGACAATCAGTCAGGGCCTCTACGGAGGCAACAGGCGGGGCAGCCAGAGCCGGGGTGTGGCCGCAGGCAGGGCAGCCAGAGCCGCGGGCAGGACGGGAGAGGCGGCCTCAGGCAGGGCCGCAGGCAGGACGGGAGAGGCGGCCTCAGGCAGGGCCGTGGGCAGGACGGGAGAGACGGGCTGTTCAGGTGCCGGCAGGACAGGTGAGACAGGCAGTTCAGGTGCCGGCAGGACAGGCGAGACAGGCAGTTCAGGTGGGAGCGCCTCGGCGGGTGCCTCTGGCGTGTGTCCAGCAGGGGGCGCCTCGGCGGGTGCTGCAGTCACTTGGCCAGCAGGGGGCGCCTCGGCGGGCGCCGCCATCAC